GGGCGGGATGGGTTTGTGTTCCTGAGAAAAAGCTGGGCCTCCTTTCCCGGTTCCGCATGGGAAACGCGACTTTGGCTTGTTTCTTTATGATTTCCCTAGGATCGGCGCCGGCTCTTGTTCATCCTCTTGGCCTAAGCTCCTAGCACAGGGTGTGGTGTCTAGTGCGTATTGAGTGAGTGAGTGAGTGAATGAATGAATGAACGAACGAACGATGGGTGGGGACCAACCTTCTTTTCCCAGCCTCAGGCCCCTCCTTTATCTCTCTGATACCTTCCCAGGCTGGAGATCCACTCTGGAAAGGCGTGGGGAGGGGGGGCAGCAGTTGCCTTTCTCTGGTACACCATGATTCAGAGGTGCTCAAGCTCCAAACCAGAAACTTACAACATCCAAGTATAAACACCACCTTTACTGGCCCAGTAACTTCGGGTTTTTTGTCTTTCTTTTAGAAAAGCACAGAATATTTTTCTTCTACACAGCTTTTCCCCAAATTACATATTTATGGTAGAAAATAAAGAGGTCTGTATTTTTTTTTTTTTTAATCGGGCAGATACTTATTGAGCAACCAAGTGCCAGGGACTGTGCAAGGCTCTGGCGAGCCAGCAGTCAACAAGACAGGCACAGCTCAAGGGAGACACACTTGTTTATGTAGATGATTCTTACCAATACTTGTTGCACCAAAAGGAACCGCTTAAAAGTTTTTGTTAATTCCTTTAAAAATAACAATAGTAAACCCATTAGGTATAAAGGTAAAATTTTAAATTTAAACCAGACTTGAGGGTGGGGAAAAACTTACCAGAAGAAATTCCGCTATTCCAGTGACCTTTTGCTTCTAAATATAGCAGTTGCCTACGGGCTCTAGAAAATCTTAACTCCCCAAATACCAGCTGTGAGAATATGGTTTCAACCCTAACAGTGATTTTTAAATAGTAGCTTGGGTTTGAGCTTTGTTTTTTGGTTTTTTTCAATTACGTTTCTTTTTCGTGAAGTTCTTGTTCTGTTGCAGGCTATCAGAGAACTGAACTCGCGTGCATTTTTATGATATCGATAACATGAGTTTTGTTAGGCTCGCTTATTTAAGCATTGCTAAGAATTTCTTCCTGGATCCCAAAATAGTGTACAGCTGTTTTCAGCAATGTGTTCTTGGGCTCCCATTTCATTCCTGGGTGAGTTCACAGAATAGGTGGTAATATGCTACACAGCCCGACTGCTGCACGTGACCCACTGAATGCCTGCTGTATCCACAGGCCCCTCTGAACAGGTGGCCAAAAAGGTTCCTTATGCCTGGGTCCCATGTGACCCAGCCACCGCGGCCCACGGGCTGCCCAGAGGCCTGTGAGGTGACCTGATAGGGTAGCCCTGCATTCTAGACTGAATTGGGCTATATGAGCCAATAAAGCACGTTTCCCAGGGACAGGAGTGAGCATGGAATGCGCAGGGACATGGTTAGAGTGGCACAGAGGCAGGGAGGCCCACGTAGGCAAGGTAATAAGCAGAACAGAGGCCTGCTGTGGAGAAGTTCCCCAGGGGTGAGAGGAGAAGCTGGG